GTGTTGGCTACCTGACTGATGCCTGTAGACACGGWGGTGCATGACTGACTTCCGCTAAAGGAGGGATGGGAGAGGGGCTCAGAGGTACGGTGGGCATTCATCCAACACTGACAGGCCTCTGCTAGCACAGGGAGATGTGCCAGACGCACCCTCTGTCTTGGAGGCCCTGGAACCAGAGGGTTTTCACCGGGCATCAGTGTGACTTCAGGCAGGTGACCTCCAGTGTTTAGCTGGGATTGCTCACCTKTCCAATGTGGATAATAATAGTGAAGATCATATAAGGTACTTGGGAGGGACAATCCTTTTTGATTTAAAAAAAAAAATATTTAGAAGTGGAGGTGCAGATATTTAATTTTCAATTTGAAGTCTCTGTTTGTTAGTGGTAACCCCAGAGGTCTAGAGCTTTGCTCCTCAACACAGTGGGAAGACAGCAGCTTCAGCAGCCCCGGGGAAYGGGTGGCCAGTGCAGAGTGGCAGCCCCACCCAGACTTCCCACAGCTTACCTGTGGGAAGCTGCATTTGAACAGATCCTGGGGGCTCCCAGGTCTCTAAGCCCCGCTGAGCACCTGGGCTGTGCAGACAGATGTGGGTTGGGATCCTGGCTCGTCCTGGGGTTGTTGTGGGACTACCTCGGCCTTCTCCTCTGCCTTCTGGGTGATGTGAGGAGCAGAGCAGGCCACTGGGAGCAGAGGAAGACGTGGGTGGAGGCCTGTAATCACAACAGGAGCTGCTGCAGGAGCAAAGGAKCAAATGATTCCCGCAGGCCAGGGGCTCTGGGTCCTCTCTTGGAAGGAGCAGAGGGAAGGGCTCCTTCCTCAATTGCTCCAAAGACAGTTAATGCTCCAAACCAAACTGGGCTTTCTCCAGTAGAGGAAAGAAGAGCCGCCGTGACGGTAATGAACAAAACCGCAGCTCCCCTGTGCGCCATCCCCTGGAGACCCATGGTGACATGGCCTGTCTCTGGACTCCTGCATGTATCTGTCTGTCACCTGTCTTTCTGAGTTTTCCATTTGGAACTGGCCACTGCCACAAGTGCGTAAGGCCAAGGGAAGATGTTAAGTCTCTTAGTTCACTGTTTTAAAAATTGTGCAAAAAGCATCCCAGAGGCGCAGGCACCAGGAATCTGCATCTGCGGTGCAGTGAAGGCCTGGCACGGGATGGAGAATTTTGTGACAGGTGTGCTAAAACAATTTCCTTTGCAGGGTGGATTTCCTGGCTGATTGCAGGATTTCCGAAAACACAAGGATTTCCAAGTGTGTGCAGGAGCTGGCTCAGAGGTCCAGGTCATCTGGCCCTGGCCAGGTGGGGTGGGCAGAGGGAGTAGACTCCCAGGCCCCCTTGGCTGCGCTGGGTGCCCCCCCCCCGGAGCCCCCGGCCTGGCTGAACTCCCCTCTCCTTGCCCCGCAGATGGAGTAAGAGTCCTGCCTTCCGAGGGTGAAGATGAGGTTCCCACCTCGCAGAACGGTGTGTGTCAGCAGAATTCTTTTCTTCTTTTTATTGCCTTGGAGACATATGCTGACTTGGTCAAAATCACTTCTGCAAGATGTGACGGATGATGGATGAAATGAAAACTCCTGGCCCAGCGCTGGGAGGCCAGCGAGCCCGGGGTGTGGGCCCTGGGCTGGGGCCCCAGACACAATAACACCCCTCCCGACTCCAGGCCATCTTTGATCCTGGCAGAGGCAGGCCCAGGTGTGGAGCAGACTGGGGCAGATCGGATTACGGCCCTGGAGCCCAGAGCTGGGTGCCCTGGCCTGGGGAGCCACAATTGGGGGGTGTGCCGGCTGCTGGGGAAAGAAGATAGGCCCCGGGGGGAGTCCCTGGGCCCTGGCCGCCCTGAGCTGGGGGCTGGGGGCCACAGTGAGGAGGGGAAGGCCACCATGGCCCTTTCATCTCTGGTGCCACCTCCCTGGGCCCTTGTGGAGCACCATGGCTCCCCTCTGAGTCAGGACAGTTTGGCTTTTCTCTGCTTGGCTCCTGCCTGCCCCTAAGCAGACCGTCCTGAGAAGTTCTGTGGCTGTTAAACTCAGGAGGCTTTCCCGTGAGGACGCGTTCCTCCTTACCCCAGGGGTACACATTTGTCCAGGGGGGTTCTTGGTGCCCTTAGTTTCTGAAAGCTTACAGCAGTCTGAGGAGCCAGGGGCTTTAGGTCCCGGTGGGAGAACTGAAACACACCAGGCTGCCCCCTCCCACCCAAGGCTTTCCCCCAACAATCTGGAAGCCTTTCCTGGTGCCCTAGCTCCCACACCAGCGCCAGCTGCCCCTCCGCAGCACAGTGCTGGCCTGAGGTTGGCATCTGCACTGGCTCACAGGCATTCCCAACCAACCGTCAGGGACTTCTTTGGGGGAGGAAGCAGAAAAATGAAAGAAGCTGCCCCTCCCCCAGCGTGATCACAGGGAGATAAGGCCAAGGAGGGGGTGCGGGAGTTCAGAGGGAACCTTATCTCCCCAGGGCTTGGGTATGGAGAGCTCCTGCTCTCTCATGTCTCCAGAGAAAAGATGCTTCTCGGAGGGGGTGAGGGGCCTGGGAGTCTCCCTAGCCAGGACCCTGCACGGCAGCCCCAGCCAACCCCTAGGCCCCTCCCTTCTTTAGGTTTGCCTGTGCTGATGGCCATTCACTCAACAGGTAGTTATTGAGCACCTGCCATGTGCCAGGCGCAGGGGAGATGCACAAAGAACTCCAGAGCTTGCTGCAAGGCCTTCCCTGCCGCTCAGGGAGGACAAGACTGGCCCCCGGACAGACTGGCAAGCATATGTAAATCATATGTAAATTGCAGCACCCAGGGTGGCTGCCCTGCAGTGGACCAGCCTTACTTGCCAGTGAGATGCCCACAAGAATTGGAGGGTGGGTTAAAAGGCAGAGAAGGCTCTGGAAAGAAGCGATCTCTTTGTCTGGCAAGCCAACACTGGGCACAGGCAGGGCTGGGCGGCAGGCCTGCTCTCTGTCTCCACATCCTCTGCCTGGGATGCAGGTCAGTGGCAGCCCACCCCCATCACCTCACCCTGTTCACCTCCCCCTCCCTGTTGTCACTTAAGACAGGCTGAAGTGCCCTGGCTTTTGAGTTGCACATTCTCTGATGGACACTGGACACCAGTGACACTCCTGCCCCTCCCCAGTAGTCTCTGGGTCAGATCTCCTCACTGCACAATGCCATACCTGGTGTGCCTCCTCTGCCTGCTCCAGCACCCCTTCTGGAGAAAGGTGATGGACAAGCACACCTCTGCCCCAGTCCCCAAACCGAGCTGAAGGCTCCTGCTCCGTCTTCTGGGCCTGAACTCGTTTCTCCATGGAGGCCGCACACGGGCCCACTCTCCACTGTGTCCTCCTGCCCAGCACTGGACTTGGCAGTGGGACTGGCCACATAATGTTTGGGGTCTAATGCAGAATGAAAATGGGGTCCTTGATTCATTGTTTATTAAGAACTGCGGTGTGGTGACTGTGCAGCAGGAGACCAGGGCAGCTGCACAAGCTGCAGGCCCTGGGCCACCCCGCCTAGCCTCTGTGCTGAGGGAGAAGTCAGGAGCGTGGGGTGGGAGCCGGCCTTTCTGTGGGCCTTGACTGGCCAGGAGCTCAGAATCCGTGGAGTCTCCCAGCCTGAGGCCGATGTAGGAATGGCTGGCACCTGCAGACTTCAGGTTGCTGCTCCTAACCTGGCCTCAAGCCTYCCAGGCTGCCATGTTATCTGAAAAACCCCAAGGGAGACCCACAGAGCCTCATGCAGGAGACCTGTGCTCAAGGAAACTGTAAAAGACCAGGATGTCTTCCCCAGCCCTCCTGCTCCAGTCCCCAAGAAAGGCCTAGCCAGAGTGTCCCCAACAAAAGCCCTTTTCCCAAGCTCAGTCCCTCAGGGATCGTGCCAGCCTGCCCCAGGATTCTCCATGGAAGCCCAGCTTCTGGGGAGGGGGCCACAAGGGCCAACCTGGGGTGAGGTTCAGTCTTACAGACCAGGAAACAGGCTCCATGGAGAGGTGATGCCCTCAAAGTCCCCCAGAGCAGAGATCTTCAGTTCTGAGTTGTGAGGGGGTCTGCGTGGTGGGGTAGGCCAACTGTCCTTTGTGATGGACAGAAGATTAGAGGGAAGAGGAGGGAGGTCTCTGGGCTCAGCCCCTGGGGGGCCCTACCTGCAAAAGCTGTGCTCAGGCAGGGTCAGGGGCGGACTGAGAGGGTGGGCTGGGGGACCTGTCTCAGGTTGAGGGGTGGGTGGAATGGTCTCAAAGCCTGGCAGGGGGTGGGGGACAAAGATTTCTCTTAGGCACTCAATGAATATGGAATGTGTGGCCACAGTGGCTCCCAGCGCRTACCACCCAGGTTCAAGGCACCTGGAGCACAGGAGCTACCGAGATCCGCTGGGTAGCTCCTGGGTTTCTAGGGAGGGCGACAGGAGGACAAAGACGACGTCATTCCAGACAGTGAGAGAAATCACAGAAAATCAAACAAGTGTACGTGGGGTGAGGGGAGGAAGCGACCTTAGCTCTGCTGTTCCGAAAAGGTCTCCTGCAGGAAGTGGCACCTGAGCGGGGGAGGGGACCGGGAGAGTTCCAGGCCGTGAGAAGGGCCAGCGCGAAGTTATGCTGGGGGAGCTGTGGAGGGGTCGAGTGGCGGGAGTAGGGGGAGTGATGGGAGAACCAAGTGACGAGTCGGCGCCAAGGGTCGCCGCTCCCTAGCAGCCAGCTCCTATTCCCGCGCTTCCCCCCAGCTTTCCTTTCCCCACCGCAGCCCTACTCCGTGGGTCGGCTCAGACCTCCTTCCTGGTCCCAGCTGCGAGTCCCAGGAGGGCAGGGCCGGCACGGATTCCCCCCTCCGCATCCCCACGGCTATCGTTCCGGTACTGGGCACCCGGTGGGCGCTTGGTAAATATTTATCCGGCGCACTGTAAGGAATGAATGAACCCATTGGGCACAACTGGGGGAGGGCGGGGCCGAGGGCAGGTGGGAGGCCGCCGGCGCGGGAGGGGCCCTGGAAGCCCGTCCTCCTCCACCTCCTCCTCCTCCCAGGCCCCAGCGCGTACCACTCCGGGGCTCCCGACGCGGCCTCTCGTGCGATCCAGCGCGTGCAGGGCTGGAGGGGCGACTCCGGGCTCTTGCTCTCCGCGCCAGAGGTCGGAAGAGGGTGGGTCGCCCGCGCCCGAGGGCGAGGGCGGGAGAGGAGCCGGAGGAAGGAGCGCTCGATCGCCGCCGCCTCTCTGCCTCCCCGGCACTCGCTCTCCGGACTCTTAGGTTTGCTGGCTGCTCCTCCCACCCGCGCCCGCCTCCTCGCTCTCTCGCTCGCTCGCTGGAGCTGGTTTCCAAGCCCTGCGGTGCGTCCCGGCAAGTGCGGGGCGAGGGGCCCCGGACCAGCGCCGAGCAAGGGGCGGGGGTCCGGGCAGAGCTCAGCCGGCCGGGGAGTGGCCATGTCTGGCGCGGGCGCAGCGGGGCCCGTCTGCAGCAAGTGACCGAGCGGCGCGGACCGCCGCCTACCCGCTCTGCCACCTGGGGCGGCGCGGGCCGGGGTGCCGCGAGCCCGGATCGCGCGTAGAATCGGCGCGATGCACGTGCGCTCGCTGCGCGCTGCGGCGCCACACAGCTTAGTGGCGCTCTGGGCGCCTCTGTTCTTGCTGCGCTCCGCCCTGGCCGACTTCAGCCTRGACAACGAGGTGCACTCAAGCTTCATCCACCGGCGCCTCCGCAGCCAGGAGCGACGGGAGATGCAGCGTGAGATCCTCTCCATCTTGGGCTTGCCCCATCGCCCGCGCCCCCACCTCCAGGGCAAGCACAACTCTGCGCCCATGTTCATGCTGGACCTGTACAATGCCATGGCGGTGGAGGAGGGCGGCGGGCCCGACGGCCAAGGCTTCTCCTACCCGTACAAGGCCGTCTTCAGTACCCAAGGCCCCCCTCTGGCCAGCCTGCAAGATAGCCACTTCCTCACCGACGCCGACATGGTCATGAGCTTCGTCAACCTCGGTGAGTGAGGGCAGGAGGGAGGGGTGTGCATCTGTGTCAGGGACGCTTTGGGACAGGGAGGGGACCTCTTCTTACTTCCAGCCCGCCCATCTTTCCATTCCTGGCCGTTTGCAAAACCGCAGTGCCTGACCGAGGGTCTCCCACCCCGGGCCCCAGTGGACTCCAAGCTTAGCGCCCCCCTACCCCACCCCAGGTAGTGAGGGCCGGGCTCAACTYGGTCTGTGGGGGTTACTAGGAGGAAGGGATCGGTCCGAAGTCTCCTCGGCATTATGCCGTCGGCCCATCTCCTGGGCAGGAGGCGCCCGCCCGCCCCGCCGCGGCTCAGTTCAAAGAGCCGGGCTGGGTCATGTGAGCTGTCCCGGGCCCGCGCGGCCCGCGCTACCTGGATTTAAAGGGCCCTTTTCGGCGAAGCTGCCTTCCGGCCCCTCCTCGACCCCTCGGAGGCCTGCCTGGCCGGGGCATCGCGGGCGTCGCACTGCCCTTCCCGCCGGGCAAGCCCTACCTGCTCCCTCGCGGTGCGTCCTCCTTAGCCTGCTGTGCGCCCCGAGCGCCTTCGGCCCCTCGCCCAGCCGCCGGGCGCCCACCTCAGCTCTCTTGGCTGGAGCTGGGGAAGAAACGTTGCCATTGCGAGCTATTTTAAATATTTAATGATAGGTCCCGGGCGGGCAGAATCCATTTTCAGCGTTTATCACGTGTGGCGCGCAAACCACGGGTTTTAGCCCTGGAGTGGCGCGGGATCTCCGAGCAGCCGCCGCGGGGGGTGGCTGGGGGGCCTGGTTCCTGACCCCAGCCTCAAGGACCCCGGGACGTGAGGCTGGGGCTGCAGCGCGCCCGGGTGGCTCCCCCTCCCTCTTTGCTCCATGTTCACCGGACTCGCTCAAACTAACCCCTGGCAGCGCGCTGTAGGACTGACGATCAAATATTTGGTTTCCGAGATAACGCGCCCGGATAGTGCTGTTTCCTGAGCCTCTTTCATTCTACTTGTGTAACTTGCTGCGAAAACCCCGAACTAAGTCAAGAAGGCAAACACGCCCACGGGCGCTGTGTCAACTTGGAAATAATGTTGCTCGGAGCCCCACGCTGGGCACCTGGGGCGTGGAGGGGGCGCTCCGGGAAGCGCGGGTCCGCCTGGAGGCTTCCATTCCAGATAAGGTCCCTGGGGTTCCTGGGAGCCCATTGTCTGTCCTTAATAATAGTCAAAATCAAATAGTGAAATGAGGTTCAGCAAGCAAGGGGTGGGGGAGGATGAGTTGCCAGATTAACTGAAGGTTGACACTAAAGCAATCAGGTAAGAATGAGGCAGCCCCCTATGACCTGGTTCACAGCCATCTTCCAAAATGTATGGGAAAGCGCAAGGTGCGGGCTAGTGAGGTGACACTTGCTCTCCTCCATCATCCCTGCTCCACTGGAAGAGGACCTGGTGAACTGGAGAGAGATTTTACTGGGCTGGGGGCGGGGCTTAGGGTGGTGGGAGCTTGGGTCTGATTTTTCATTGTCCGTGCTGTTGTCTTTGTGAGATTTTAACCTGTGTATTTATTAGCAATAGCCAAAACGAAAGGAGAATTCTAAATCCATGCATATCAATACAATAATGAATGTCAGAGTTCTGTAGTTCTCCTGAGGCCAGGGTTGAGGAGAGTCCTTTCCTGGGGGAGGTGGGGGGGGGGCAGGGGTGTATTTATGGCATCTCCTGTTCTGCTTAAGTCCTGTGACTCTCACTGAACACAGCAGGTCCCAGTGGATGCATTCAGAGCCTGGCTAGGGTCATTAAAAAAGTATTTGTAATCCCTGGCTTCTGTAGCAGGCTCTGCAAACCCAGCTCAAATAGTGCCCTGGTGCTTCTGGACCTGCCGTGTGGTGGGACCTGGGCTCTGCATCCCAGAGAAGGACCAGGCTGCTAACTGGGGACTCCTGGGAACTTTGGGGCTGGGCCTGTTGCTCCCCCCAAGGCTTTGGGAGCAAGCTGGGACTTGCTTGGGCAGGCCAGAGCTGGGTGGTTTTCCTCCTCTGGCTGTACACCACCTTTGAATCCATTTCTTTCATCTTGAAAGGACAAAGACCAGCTTGTCTGAGCCTCTTAATCAGTCGGGCTGGCTTGGGCTGACTTTCTCAGGTCCAGCTTTCTGGAACATCACTCCAAATTAGATGGCAGAGTGGCTTTTAACAGCACACACTGACCTTATTTTCTTTTCCACTCTGTCCCTAAATTAGTTAGGGGAAGACCTGGGCTGCCGTTTGGCAATGAGGCTTCCGGTAGGTGCCCCTAAGGGTGGCCTTTAATTTCTGCCCAGGATTTTAACTAACTGCCTGTTCTTTCTGTTGTGCATGACTTGAAATATTTCTCCATAAGAGGGATTTGGGGGTGACAGTTGGGAGAGGGGTGGGGGGTGGGACGAGTCTGCTGGGTTTGCTGAGGAAGGGCATGTCTTTCCTGGGACTGCCAATCCTGTTGACCTGCAACATGCAACGTTTTCTAAGGCCAAGTTTATTCTCACGTTGTCCCTAAGAGTGAGAAAGTTCCACATGTTTGTGTCCAGCCCCGGCTTGTTACCATGGGGAGGATTTCTGGGGCCCACCATGAGGGTCTTGGGGGGCGGCTGACTTACTCTGCTGCCCCTCCCCCTCCGGCATACCTCTGCTGCCCGGCCAGGCTGCCTGCCTGGGGACCCCTGCCTGGATTCTGAAGGCTTTTGCAGACCTGGTGCCTTTATTCTTCCTCTGTCTGCAGCCAAACTGGTTTTTGTTCCTATAAGTCGTTCTTGGAATCCGAGCTTTTTGCCAGGCTGAGCGGGATCTAAACTAGAGGGGAGATTTTACGACAAAACCAGGTGCTGGGAGTGGGAACTTTAGGCTGCACCCATGACAAAGATCAGGGTGTGAGCAAGCCCCGTGGCACTCCAGCTGAGCTATAGGAGGGGGCTCACCTCCTCCCAGCCTGGCCCCCTTGAGTTCAATGGCAAGATTTGTAAACTGGTTTGGATTAACAAGCCCCTGACTCCTCTGGGTAGACTTAATTTTGGAATTCAAAACAGGCTACCCTCTCTTAAAGAGTCCCCAGGCGATGGCAACCCTGCGGACTGCCTCTCGAACTCTGAGTCCTCCCCACTCTTTCTTTGGAGAAACCCAGCAGCTCTGTTTGGAATCTTCTGAGGACGCCGGCTGGCATGGGGTGTGCGACTCGTGTTTATCTCTGGGTCAGGTTATGAAGGAATGAAATTTGTTTAATCTTCGAAGCTAAATTGAAAAAAAAAAAAAGGAGAAAGTTGGAAACCTATCATTATTGGAGTCAGCGTATAAAAGTGGCTTTTGTTAATGCAGCCTGAGAGGAGGGGAAGGGCGTGTAGTTCTGAGTTTTGCTTTATACCATCTGGCTATCCTTTTTGTTGACAAGTGTTTGGCATTACGAGCTCTCCTTTTGCCCCTTCGGAACAGGCCCTACCACTGTAGAGTATTAGAGAAAGATTCTGTTACAGTTTAGAAACGTCCTTCAGGGAGTGCTCCGCGCGCATGGCCGCAGGCATCTGCAGCTGTAACCTGGCTTGTGTTAGAATTTGGAAGGGGCTGCTCCGCATTCCAGCCCTGCGCGGCCCTCCCTGGTAAGCAGCCAAAGGTTAATATAGATGTCACACAGGCTTTCCTCTTCTTTCTTCCTCTCCTTCTTGCTACAGGAGTGTACCAACAGCTGTGTTTTTAGTAACCCTTTCAAAATCACTTCTTTTAAACCTCATTTTCCTGCTTATATAAATCAAAGATTCTCCCCCCCTCCCCTTTTCCCAAGGATATATGTGACCCAGATTTGAACTTTTTGGATCTTCTATGTATTTGCCTCCTGGAATCAAGGCAAGGTCCGTCTGAGCCCTTGGATGCCAGCTTGGATGGCTGCTTTGGGTTTTTAACTCCAGGTCGTCATTTCTCTTGTCCCACCCAAAGGCCCAGATAAGAGCTGGTTCCGGGGCAGCGAAGGGGGATGATTCTTTGCATCCACAGAGAGGAAAGCTCTTCTGAGATGCAGCCTGTGAGAGCTGAGATTCAGGCCTCACCTTGGTGCTGCAGACACATCAAGCCTTCACCCAGATAAACACAGCTGGTGGACGATCCCCTGACCACCGGCATGCCTGCGATGTGAGCGAATATCACATGTCCGCTGAACTCGGAGGCAAGTGATGATTTCATTCCAGGGAGAGTCCCGTCTAAGTTGATTGATCACGCGTATCGCTTTAATATCTCGCCCTCCCCCCCTCGGTAAGGTCATATTTGGCCCMTGGTGAGCATCAGAGTGTCCTAATGCTGCCCTCCTCCGCCCTTCCCCAGCCTGCCCAGGCATTGCACGCTGGGGATGGGGAGCCCTTTGCACCAAACTGCTGGCCGCGGTCATTTCTTGAGTTCAGTCTTGGGAGTTAGCTGGGGGCTGTCGACACGCTGGTTTCTTGGCGTTGCTGCTGCAAAGCTTCGTCTTAATGCGCTGTGGCAGTGTCGCTGGGTGAGGGCACAGGCAGGGATGTGTGGGACCTGTCATGTTATTGTCAGCAGGAATGTGAGGATTAGCCTTGGAGCTGGTGGCRGGGAGTGCTGCAGCTGTGTACACTTATTATGAAAGATTTAAGCCCCACTGGTAAAATCAATATATTGAGTTGCACGACCCTCTGCTTTTAATTAGTTTAAATCAAATGCGCTGGTGCCATTGCGCCTCCCTTGCCTCYGTGGGGTGAGGAAATACCAATATTTACATAGAAACTGTTAATTTGTGGTGAAAATGATAACACATTTAGCTTTACACACCCCAACGGCTCCAGCCTGATGGATCCCAGATCGGTGTGGACTTGAGGGCTGACGTCATCGGGATGACGGAGCAGGGAGGAGATGAGGGTGACATCTGGGGCTTGGGTCCCAGATGCCAGGACGCCGAGCAGGTGGGTATGTCTTCAGAGGCCGGTCCTGGGGAGGCTGGGCTTGCCAGAGACTGGCAGGTCAAATATTGGACCCCCCCTCACCCGTCTAAG